CGGTTATTGAGGTATTGAACACTTTTCAGTGCGGCGCAGAGCTCTGCAGTTATTATTATTTAAAAGCTTTGTTATTTGTTTTTTTTTTGTTTTTGTTTTTTTTTTAAACTTACTGCTGGATGCTTGCAACTCACGGCTGGGTAGACGATTTATTTTAAATTTTGGTCAAGGGAAATAAAATGTTGAAAATACAGTCAGGAATAAGGACCCTTGCGTGTAAATTCAATAACTGTTTCTCCGAAGTACCGTAGGATATTTATTTAATATAATTTTAATAATAGCAAAATAATTTTCGGACGCCCGGCTGCCCTCCGTCGGCGCTTAATTGTTGCAACACCGGCAGCCAGCATCGATGTGCATTCTCGTATGTGGCTCGAGGCGAAATGCATACCGTTTTCAGTCGCTAAATTAAGAGAACACCGACACCAGACTGACTGACTGACCAAATTGAGTGCTAAGCCAAAATTGAATGGGCATTTATGGGCACTAAAAGGTCTTTCGCTAAAAGTTTCCTGCAAAAAGTTGAACTAAATTTTCAATTGCTTGCCGTCGCCAGACATCACTTGCCGAAAAATAAAGACCAGGGCGCAGCCGCGCAGATTTCCTGCGAGGTTTCGGTGTAAACTTTTGATTGATGTCGTTTTAATTGACAACGCACAAACGCACAGACACTCGCTTATGTGCAGTAGAAGTTATGAAGTGAGCAAAAAAAAGGTAAGAAAATGAGGAATGGCTACTGATTTAGCAACTCATTTATGGCCAGACAGAGAAGAAATGCTCCAGATATAAAAGGAAAGGATATCTGTATGTGTGCAAAGATATGAACAAAAAAAATCTTATTGATGCTGCATCCCTCCCAGCATATGAAGCTGCCTCCATTACTTTGTTGCAACAACTGTTGGCAGTTTGCTGCAATAATGTACTTTAGAGAAATTCCGTGCGCATGTGTGAGGATTAGAGCTGCTGCTGTCGCTTTAACGCTTGAACTCTCCGTTACCATTGTCCATTGTTGTTTTTGTTTTGCATTTATTGATGATAGACTGACTCTAGCCAGGGCTTGGAGTAGTGGCGTTGAATTGTGCAGCCAAAATACAACATATGCGATGTCAGTTGGAAGGACTCACGACCGCAGGATCACAAATCGTATAATAGTACACACACACATACACACACACACACACATATATATTCTTATTATCAAAAAATATATATGTATATTAAATACAGTATGCGTTAAAGTATTTGTAACAAACATTGAACGCGCGCGCCTCGTCATCTGTTGCCACTTTGGCTTACGAAAATTGGATATCCTTGCAGCGCAGTTCGTTCGATTGTCGTTCGCTTCCTTCGTTGATGCGTGCGCACGAGCAGGAAACATTGCTTGACTGGCTGCTTGGCTGGCGTGTTGCCGTTCCTGCTTTTTGGCTTCTTCCGATAATTTTTTTCTTTCGCTTGGCACTGAAAAGGAAAAAGGATCAAAGCCTAAAGCTGGAAGGAGCAGAAAAAATGAAGCGAGCAATTAAAAAATATCCTCAAAAAAAAAAAAATATAAAAAAATTGCTAAAAAATAAGAAGATGAAAAAACCTAAAAAAAAAACAGAAATAAATGAAAATTAAATTAAGGAAGAGCTCTGTTCGGCGAAAACGAATATAAGACAACATCAACTGGTGACGGATGGTGGAAAAATATATTTCATTGTAATAAATGCTTTAGTCATATATATAACATTCACTGGGCCCGAACTAGGCGAGGGGATTTTAGTACGTGCTACCATACGGATGGTCTTAGGCTCGTGTCATGGCCAGACCATTTCCTGATCCATATGATTCATCCCCACAGTATAGCACTTCCGGAAATATTTCACTGGACAAGTATATATTTGTTTGGCATTGCGTCCAAGTCATTATAAAAAAATTCCTGTTATCAACATATAAAAGTTATAGAAGGCCGAAGACCGAATCATGAGCGTCCGAAATTAAGCTACTGAGTAGAATCATTGTACGCTTCTAACAATCTGCCTGACTTGATAAATTTTTTTTTTGCCTCCACCTATGCCAACCCCTCTTCACATAATATGTGGATTTCTAAAAGTAATGAAACCCGCACAACTTACAAATACATTTTTTCGAATAGATCGATCCTAAGTCCACTTTCCGAAGAATCCCTTCTTAATGGAGGCTTACGTCAAACACAAAATACAGCCTTCAAATCTCAGGTGGTCTAGGTGGTGGATTGATTCGACAGTCATTCATAGATAAAATATTAGTTATATAGGAAACGTGCTCTCCTTTGGAAATGCAGGCGATTTAGCTTTGTTTATTGAATACTTGCCTCGATAACTTTACACTGTTGCATACAAACGTTACGTGAACAAAGTTTTTATACCCGGAGCACGCACTGAAGAAGGGTCTATGACGATTTATTTTAAATTTTGGTCAAGGGAAATAAAATGTTGAAAATACAGTCAGGAATAAGGACCCTTGCGTGTAAATTCAATAACTGTTTCTCCGAAGTACNGTTTATTGAATACTTGCCTCGATAACTTTACACTGTTGCATACAAACGTTACGTGAACAAAGTTTTTATACCCGGAGCACGCACTGAAGAAGGGTCTATATTTCACATTGAAAAATGGGAAAATTAGTAAAGCGAAATAAAAAATTAAAAAGGAGAGAGTTGAGAGTTGAGAGTTGAAAAACAACATTGGGGGAAGCCATTTAAACACACATTAAAAATTACAATAAAAATGTACTTGGTTTTTTACGCTGAACTACAATTGGCCAACTGTTTACTCGCTGCAAAAAAAAAATAATAATAATTTTCAAAACCAAAAAAAGAAATCAAAAATAAATAACAAAAATGAAGTACTAACCAACGTAAGGCGTACACCAGCAAAAAAGTTAAAAGAGTTGAATTAGTTGTTGCCCCCAACCATGGCGCGCTGCCACATTGGCACGAATTACATACATACGCATTTATGTTTCACAGGGACATTCGGGCAACAAATTAATAATGATGGTTTGCTGTCGAGGTGTTAGTTAAGGATACGCTTCGTTCGCTATGTCTCAGAGACAAGCATACACATGTACATATATACAAACATCTGTGATCTTCTAGTCAGATCCTTGTACTTCCCCCCTTTGCCATAATGATTTACGTATTGTTTATACATTAACATAGGTGTGTACGTGTGTGCAGCATTTTGGCCGTTTTGATGTATGTATGTATAGAGTAGTAGCAGTATGTATCTGTTCACCGCGCAGACGCAGCATTATTACTTACCAATTTACAAGCAAAGTCTTTCCGCTCCACCGTGGATGCGCTTCGATATTGAACACGTGCACTAAGGAGGGCGCGTGTGCGTCAGATGGTCAAACAAATACACAAAAACTTAGATAAAACGAATTGGTAGAGCAGAGGAAGAAGAGAAAGGAGGAATAGACTAACGATTGAAAGCGATGAAAAAATCATACTTATTATTTGTTAAGGTTCTTTTTTTTGAGCACTCAAGGATATGCTCATACTCACATACCTCATACACTTTTATATATATGGAAGATTAGCTAGAAGCATATTAAAATCGTTTAAATATCCTTGCAATAGAAAAAGTTCTTTAAAGTGACTGAGGCTTTTCGGAGTCATCGATAATGTCTTCGTTAGAACCGAGCACCGAGGATCGAACTGCTGCTTCATATTTTCCTAGTTAGCTAGTAAATAAGGTTGCTCAATCACGGAGTTCCTTGATCGAGCAGACTTAGGCCTGTTGGCCCGTTGTGATATCTATGGGCGGCCTATAGAAAGAGGGAAGAGGTCCCCTTTATAGATGCTGAAACCATGTGGTTTGTTTTATGAGATTATTCACACTTGATGAAGGCAGTCAAAGTGGAAATTACGATCTCGGGCCACAGTGGCAGCGGTAGTACTCCGCTGACTTCTCTATGTATATGTCTCTGCAGCTGCGGAAGAAGTCATTAGAGAAGTAGCCTATCCTTCTACCATGAGTCCCCATCAAAAAGTCTTCCCTTATTACGCCGGTTGTTATACTCGTGGAGGTTCCATTTGAAAGGACTATTGACTTAGTTCTTTTTGTATCGATCAATGGCCAAATGTGCCTGGTTGCATTGCAAATGGTTTCATCCTACCTTCTGCTATTGACCTAGCTGGAGAAGACCGATCTTAGCAAGTATTTTGCGGAGGAAAGAGGTATGCCCGCATCGTGAACAGAGTTTACCCTGGTTAAGATTGCAGCCTCTCTTCTTCGATTCCTTGGATGCTTCCATTTTTAGATTAATCTGGGCTACTTTATAAAACTTTAACTTGTCTCAGATGCCAGGTCACTGGTCAATAGAAAAGAACAATGATACTCGTTTTAGGACACCCAAGGGAGCGAACAATGCCACAAAATACCTGCTTGCTACTTTTGATTGGTTGTTTTCTATTGTAGGCTCATCAAACATAAAGATTAAAAGCGAGGATCGGTCTTTGTAGGAATTTAATGGCTATCCAAAATATGCTTGAACTAAAGCTGACATTACAAAATCTTCCGGGTAAGCAGGGATTACAGCGGTTCAAAATCATTTTTAGACTCTACAACAAGTATGCTAGATCTCTATGATGAACGATTGCTCAACTTAGAGGATTTTTTTTTGTAGTGGCAAATCATGATAGCAAAACAAAGCCCGAAGATTTCTCTTTAACTGAAGAGTTGAGGGAAGTGCAAGTTTTCTTTTTTCAGAAGTTAAGCCTAGAAGTGTAAATGTTGAACCAAAAGCTTTCCACACCGGAAAGATGCCACCACACATTTAAGCAGAGAGCTTCATTACTAGCACACATTTTTTCGGAGCTGAGTCCTGCTTAGTATCCAAGCTACTATTTAACCTGAGACCAAGCGCTATTGGACCTTGTGAGCTTCATATAAAACCTATGTCTGTAAAACCAATTGAAAATTCTTTAAATTTATTGTCATTACAAATTATTTGAAAAAGTAATTCAGATTATTTTAGCAATCTTTCAGGTCTTCTTCGATGCGCTTCGTAACCTCCTTTACTAGTTCATCAATACAGGCCAGCGCCTGCGATTCACTTTGCTGTGAGACCTCACCAGTACGGGACAAAAGCAGAGCCACAGTCTCCAGCTCTTTAGAAATCTCTGCATTCAAAGACACAATCCTTTCAACGAAACAATTTGTACTTGTTGCAAAACCACGTGACATTATTTTACCCGTCTCTGAGTCCCCCAGAACATGGCAAGTTTTTGCTAAATTAACAACTTCATCGATAGTTCCCTCAATCGATAGTATACTTTCTTCGGCCTCTGATTTGAATGATCGCAACAAATCGTTGAGATCTTCAGTACAGTTACTTAACTGTAAATCGATGCTCGCACGTAAATCGTGTATAGTCAAAGAGGTTTGGCAGATTTCTTGACTTAGCTTACGACTTGCCTGAAGTATCGGCAGCGCTAGCCGCTCCAAGGCGTTGGTGATGAGTGTTTCGATGCTGCCGAGTAGCATATCGCTCGTGCGTGCAAATTTACCATTCGCTTGCACTGCGATTTCGTCCGCGATCGAGACCATGTTGAAGGCCAAATTCTCTATTGCATTGCTGACGGGTCCGTTGAAGTTGCTGAGAGCTGAATCAGGGCTTAAAAGTTCTAAAGCGTCCTCGGCATGGGCGCACTGAAAGTGAGTAAAGAGTAATTTCTAAGAAATTTTATTTTAAGTCGAAACTCACATTCAGGACCAGGGCAACGAGTAGAATGATGTGTAGTTGAGAGCGCAGTATTTTAACCATTTGGCTTGAGTTTTGAAAAACAATTAAAGTAGATCCAGTTCATTGTCTTTGGCGTGACCGAACCACATACATCTTATCAGCGAGGAGAATTCAAAATAACACTGTTTTATCTTTTCAATCGCTGAGATCGTTGATGCAATCAATTCAATTTCGTTAATTAAGTTCATTGGTATTTACGCTTGCTTTTTTACGATTCTGATTTATTTCACAATTATGTTTTTTTTGTTTTCGTCATCGAATTTTGCTTCAACTCTTTATGAAAATATAACTCAACAACACAACGGAATAAAGCAAGCTTCATAGCAGAACATGGAGCTCGTCGGGGTTTTCCTATTTAGTTACTACAGTCTAGCGCTGTTTGTAAGTTGGCAGTTTTAACACAAGAGAGATCCTTTTCATTGCTCTACACTTTCAGCTTTTGACGCACGCAATACCCTACAGCCCTTGGCTTTCACCACAACGCCATGGACCGCTGTACGAAGGTGTCAAACTGCTGATTGCCGACGTCGAATTACAGGCAGCGCTTTCATGGAATGAAACCGAATTTCAGCTACAGGAAGCCGTTTCTGCCATATATGAGCAACAGACATCGATTGAGGAGTATGAAGCTCCGACCGAGGAGCATTTCAACCAGCGCGCAAACACCGCTTATGTGCACTGCTACTCGCGGCATGAGCATACCATTCAATCTTTGGATGGCGAGATTACACTGAAGCGCCAGCTGTGTTGGCAAGTATTGGCACACAATTTGGTCGCCCTGCAAAATGACCACAACTCGGCGCTGAATTTTCTACGCAACGGAGCTGTGGAAGCACGTAATGTGCTTAATGTTTGTAATGTAACTGCTCTTAGGGGAAGTTCGAATTCCAGCGATCATGCTGGTATAACTTTATGCGTTATTGGACGTATAGGCGCACTTGATCAGCGTTTGCTAGCTGCAGCTGAGCACTTTGCCGATCTACTTGCTACCAAGGTATCCACAGAAGACGACGCTGAAGATAACAGCTGTTTGGAGTTTGAGGAGCTACGTCAACAACTCGATAGGGCTTATGAAGACATAAGTGAATGTGTAGAACAGTCAAATATTTAAACATGAAAATATATACGATTGCTCCTGGACTTATGATTTCGAAATTATTATGAAATTTGGTTTTAGTTATTCAAAAATTGTTCAAATAATTTGAAAGCGCATCAGATTAGAGGCAGAAAAATAAGAAGGGTCGTGATACTTAACCACATTCCATAAAAATATTTAAAAAAAACTGAACTTCTAGGTTATTGAGTTTCCATTGAATCATGCTCACCATATTAAAATATTCCATTACGTAGATATATAATCTATATGATCTTTTTACGTCTCACACTGTAGCGTGTTCAATAACACAGAGTGCCCCATGGGCCCACTTTTCAAACTGTTTGGTGGAGATCTTTGCTGCAATAAAAATTCACCAGCGATCGTGTTTTAAATCAGTGAATAAGTATTCGTTGCATACATATAGGCGCTTTATCAGCGGTTGTAAAATCAAATGAATTACCAGACGATTGTTTTAGTTTTGCTCCGAATCATACGTATTGATTCGAACTATGTCAATTCTTTTTTATACAACGCAATAATAAGTTGAAAAATTGGCTACTACAAGGAAAACTAAAACAGATATTTCCAAAAGTTCTGCACTGGATCCTCATAGCCTTCCACATTTCAGCATTTCCAGCCGATCGTGCTCATATCATTCGGTCGTTTCTGGTCCATATTCATAAAGTGCGTGGCTGCCGTGTTAGCTGTAGTTGATAACGTTTCGGATAAATAGTTTTGATACAATAATTTAAGGTAGTTCCATTCTCTCTTCGCAGTCGGCTTCATAGCTATCTGACATTAAAAGCGTTTCGTATGCTTCGTGTTAACTCTCTTTCCTTAAAAAAAATGTACCATTTTTAAATAAAACACAGGCAGGGAATTTTCATTTCTTTTTTTTAAATTTTGAACATTCTAAAATCCCTTAATATATGTAATTTCCTACAAGGGTCATCAAGTGACTTTCATGATTGTTGTATCACAACTTTGGCAGATTTGTAAGAAAGTATCAGAAAGGGAAAAGGAAAGAGATACGCCCACCAAAATTTAAATCAGATCCAAGAATATGAGGAGCTGACTGGTTTTGCTATATCTACGTTTGAATGCCAATTGGTCTCACAATTTTAGAGATGTTTCATGGAAGTTTTGTAAGCAGACAGGGTGTTTTAATAATTTCTGGTTTTTAGAGTAGTGCAAATGCATTATAAAACCCTCATATTTGCGATTACTTCCAAACACTTTAGAATTCAATATAACCGCTGAATATATTGATATTAGTCAGTTAGCTAAATCACGGTACCTTGATCTCTTAATGATACCTGTGTTGGTTCTGTGAAGAAGATTCTCTTATCTTTCCAGATACTTAAAACAGTTGGTGTATTTTACGAAGTTCTAGAGATTAATGATGCTATGTTAAGCATTCGAAGAGAAAATTTCCGAGAAATCCATAACGGACAGCTGGGTTTACTGAGATTATGACTATTCCTATCCGGACAGCTCATTAACCTCGCAATTTATTGAGTGTCCCTATGACCAATTACCCCAACCACGGACTGCTTAGAAGATAATCCCAACAATAATTAAAAAATTTTCAAGTTGAAAATTATAAAAGTTGCAAGATCAAACATTTCTAAGCAAACACGTTTAGTTTCGAAAACTCCGAAGTAAAAGTACCTTATAGAATTTTTTATCATGGTTTTGCCTGGTTTCAGTATTCATCATCTTCAAACTTTTTTGTTGGCCAGGACGCTCTTTGATTCATCACTTTTGAAACGTCGAAACCTCTCTCTACAAGACTTATCATTCGACAAAGATTCACCATATAATCCCACAAACATTCGATGGACTTTAGCTGAACTTGAACTTTTTAAAGAAATAAAAAACAAAGCACAAGCACAAGCTACAACTTTTAGGTGGAGCCACAACGTAAATAAGTGGATAGATAAATCATCTAGCAGATTTAAGTTTAAAAATATAAAAAATATGAGGTTGTTCCTTCCGCTTTTTTGTCTTTTGAATTTCGCGGCTATGTACAAAGCGCTACAGAGCTCGTATCTGGCAACACTATACATAATTTGAAAGGTCTTGACATAACCTAAAAAACAATGCATGCATGATTAGTTTGGATATTGCGTTCAACAGTTATAGACGTGTAAACATGGAGTTCACTAAAGCCGAAATTCGCGCTATTTTAAAGTTTTCCTTCGTTAAAGGCAAATCCGCTAGAGAAACGTTCCGTCAGATTAATGGTGTTTTGGGGGATGGTACTCTATCACTTCGAACCGCGGAGGAATGGTTTCGACGATTCAGAGCCGGTGAAAACGACACCATGGATAAGCCAGCCGGCGGAAGACCTGTGACGACAAATACCGATCAAATCATGGAATACATCGAGTTAGACCGGCAAATGGCATCTCGTGACATCGCCCAGGAGATAGGAGTTAGTCACCAAACCATTTTGAACCATCTGCAGAAGGCTGGATACAAAGAAAAAGTTTGATGCTTGGGTGCCGCATAATTTGACGCAAAAAAACCTTCAGGACGGAATCAACGCCTGCGATATGCTGCTGAAACGGAACAAACTCGACCCATTCTTGAAGCGGTTGGTGACTGGCGACAAAAAATGGATCACCTACGACAATATTAAGCGAAAACGGTCGTGGTCGAAGGCCGGTGAATTGTCCCAAACAGTGCCCAAGCCGGGATTGACGGCCAGGAAGGTTTTGCTGTGTGTTTGGTGGGATTGGAAGGGAATCATCCACTATGAGCTGCTCCCATATGGCCAGACGCTTAATTCTACCATCTACTGCGAACAACTGGACCATATAGCCCGGACGTAGCGCCAAGTGATTACCACCTGTTCCTGTCCATGGCGAATGCCCTTGGTGGTGTGAAGTTGAACTCAAAAGAGGCTTGTGAAAAGTGGCTGTCCGAATTCTTCGCAAATAAGGAGCGGGGCTTCTATGAGGAAGGTATTATGAAGTTGCTATCTAGATGGAAATAGATCATCGAACAAAACGGCGCATATTTTAACTAAATCCGATCACTGTAACACTTTTTATACAGCATTGAATGAAGAGCAAAAAAGCGGAAGGGAGGTATTTGACAACCTTATATTAACTTAAAAAACTTATTTAATTTTTATGTGATATAAATTTTGATTTATTTTTCCTTTTTAATCATGGATAATCAATCGCAAACAAAGAAACAATTTCAATTTCACAAATTCCTCCAAAATTCTTTACTATTTTCAATAAATTATTTAAAAAAAAATAAATTTAAAAAAAAAGCTATAAAATCTAAGGGCGTAATCTATAAGGATGATTTCACAAATCCTACGAGTTCGATCACTTAAACAATTCAGTGAAATAAAATTCCTAAAATTTGTTGTTTGACTTTTTTATTGTAAATACGCAGTTAACTAACCAAAAATATCTCTATAAACACGCAGCTTATTCCACTTCTCTCTACACCCACGTTGTACCTAGCGAATAAACCAGACTGAACGTGCTGGTGATTTGACCGTCGCTCTTATATACCTAAAAATTTCTCGCACGCACCTCTAGAAAGTTCTTCTTTGATAGTTTTTGATACACTTTACACTCTAAAACATGCTTTTGTTGTCGGCTTCTCCTGCTCAGCTCACATTTTTATACTATTTTCAGCAGTATTTTCTTCTGTGGGTCAGAACTTGTGTATGCACGGATTAAGCCGAATTATTTTGATTGAGTTGGAAAAGTAACAACGATGGGGGCCATAATCGTTTTGAATTTTTTGAGCATGAGAAATGACCGTTCTTATCGGCGAAAAAACGCTGATTACCAATAAATACAAAATCAAGGAGTTTAAAAAAGCGATAACTCTATAATTTGCTAAATTCGGTGAACACATACATACATTTTGTTAAATAATAATTAAAGTCTGTATATTCGAGGCATGATCATTTCATTTCTTTAAGTACTGTTTCTTTCCTCTAGCCTTGACGAGGTGGCTCAGAGTTCTTTTGTTCAATACTCCATCCAAAAATTTTTATTTGTAGTTAAGTCATTTTTGTTTTCATCCATTGGCTTAAAAGAATTACTTAACCGCTGCAACGATAAGCTGATAATAAAATAATAGATTAAATAATAATTGCCAAACACCTATTCGTAGGTAAACATCGTTCTTATTGAATAAAGTACAATTGCTCAAAATAGTTTGATTTTTCTTTGTAACGCATTGCGCTCACAATGATTCTGAAAGTTGAAGGACTCTTTTGTCTTCTACTGCTCTCTGCAATGGTAAGGACTGTAGAATTTAATTTCTGTTTGAGATTTCCTTCGAATTCCCTTCGCATTTTAGCAAATTTGCGCCTACAATACAATCAGCGGCATACTTGATCGTGCAACGGACCTCACACCCGAGGAGATGAATGCTTTGAGACCGCTTTTCTACTATCTGCAAGAACAATACGACTATATACTGACTCGAATGCCACAAGGTAGTCAAGAAGATGATCAGGAAAACAATGATTCAGTTGATAGCCAGTTGGCCGCTACTCAAGCAGAGTTCGCGCAATATTTCCCGGATTTGTATGACACACCGGTAAGCTTAGCAAACGCGCACAGCAACTGCGATAAATACAACACAACATTACCAACAGTTGCCGAGTTGATTGGCAATACACCGACAGGTGTCGAGCTTAACTCCGAAGCGCTTGCCGAACGCGTTGATATCGAAAGTTTGGTAGAGGAGGCGCTCAGCGAGGCGCAGCAGCAAATCGACGAAATCGTACGACGTTCGCTGCAATTGGAGTCACAGTTACTCAAAATAAATAAACTGAAAATAGTTAAATATGTACTGGAGGCGCTCTCGGTACTCTTCAAGATTGCGACACGTGGCGCACGCGCTGCTTACTGCACCTACTCACACATTCCACAGCTGAACGTCTCGCTGCTCAACATTTACGATGGCGTCGATTGTTATGCATACTCGAAGCGCCTGCTGTTGCGTGTGGAGCAGGAAACGGTGCTGACGGTGAGCACAATCAGGAAGAATGTCTACAGTTTGGCGGGCATTTACAAGAAAATCGCCAATAAGAAATCGCTGTTAGGGAAACTAACTACGGCACTCTTGAATTTGACGAATATTATACGAAACATCAAGGAGTCGTATGTGTTGGGTTCCAGTGCGTTAGATAAGGTGAAAAATGAGCTACCCGACGCCGCGTTAGGTAGTGCGAATTGCAGCCGCGGCTTTGTTGGTGGTATACCACAAATGGTCGAGACTGTAGCCAATTTGTCCACTTGCATCATGTTCGTTGACAACACCACCAACGACTATGACTTTATGAAACCGGAGAATGAACGAGATTTCAACTAACGAGCTTCCAGCTAACGAGATTTAAAACTAACGATTTGCCATCAATTTTTACTACCCAAATTTAAAGTTTTTCTTAATTAAAGGAAAGTTTTATGATTTATTTATTGTTTGGAACGGTCAACGATCTGTGAACGTGACGCCTTGCTGTCTATGTTAGGGTTACCGATGTTGGATTGGTGGAAGAAAGAAAAATTGGAAATGAAACATTGGCCCCCTAATTCCCACTTATTCTAAAAATCCTTGAAGGCTGAAATAGTGGAATTTTTAACAAAAAAAGTATTTAATCGTCAATCAATTTGTATCAGTTAAGTTTTAGCATTTGCCATCTTCTGGTATTTATACTGAAGAAGTGCGCTGAACTTTAGCATCGAGGCCTCCTTTTGGTTCCTACACCAGTATATCTTTTTCCTCAAATTTTTTGTTGCCAGGAGATAAGAAGAAATATATTGGTATCAAATGACTTCTAGAATGCACACATCTAAAGTACATGAGTTCCGTCACAGCAAGATCCATTTGAGAGAGGTTTTGAAGATGCGATATGGAAGGGAACGAGGCAAGGAAGTGTACAAGTGTTTCTGCTGCCTGGGGGAAAATTCAATGTGTCCAGTTGCGGTGGTGTAAGCGTGGAATTGCTGGAAATTAGATGCTCATCAACTTAAGGAACGACCCCCAAAGAAGTATACACTTCATAGTACAAGGCTAGACCGAATTAGCCACCTTTACTGTACAATTGCAGTAGAACTCAAAAAGGCCTTCTGCCCATCGCATTTTTTTTTGGGTGATGCCATTTCGCAGCTAGACAGAGACGCCTTGCCTATTAGGTTATGGGAAGTTTTTGGTATTTGACCAGAAGTCGTGAATATGGGTATAATATAATTAGTTGTAAGGGAGGAGAGTAGCACCTCACCCTGGCCATTCCAAAGAGAGAATAGTAGCTCACCACCTCAAAATAATTGCTTTAATATAAAAGTAGGAGAGGGAGTCCGCTTACAGATATAATATGCGTGGTCTTTACTTTATTTGTGTTCAAATTTTCTATGTCACTCGGTTATTACAAATGTATCAATACATTTGGTTGCTACTGTGTCACGAAAAGTGTTGTTACAGTGATATGTGATATTGTTGTGTGACTTACCCTTATCATATGATTTGATATGATGATGTGATATGGTGAGTTATTGGTTTTGGGTTTGTCACAACTGAAGTCGCTCGAGGCTTCTCAATCCTGTGATGGCATTGCAACCCACCATGATTTCGTCCAAGAGCCAAGTTGCCATCCCTTTAATGCAATTAAATCAAATCTAAAGAGGTTTTATGGTGCAAATAAACTCTGAACAAACAACGCGCTAATTAAAAAGGGAACTACCATGAAAGCTAGAGGCAAGATCAACAGCAGAAGGTTGCTGGATACTGGCCGACTTTATCCATTTCATTACTGAGCGGCAACTGCAGTTACAAACTGTGAAATTCTCGGCGATCCATTTCACCAGCTGGATGAAGGAGCGCCTGCTCGAACTCGATATGAAATTCGGGGGAGCAAAAATTCCGACAACCAACAAAACAAAATTACTGGGTGTCACATTTGACAGTAGGAACTCTGCATACGACTGCCATTGGCACCAAAATATTTATAAAGTTGCAAAAAAATCCTCAAAGCGTTAGTCGGCAACAACTGAGTTAAAGGCAAAAATGTAATGCAATTAGAACCGTGACAGGAAACCTTGAAATATCACCGGAGCATCACTTGCACAGCTAAGTAACACCTAGGTTCATCAGGAGTGTAGTGCTCAATTATGCATACTCCAATCAGCACCATATGCAAGAACCACTGAACAGGATGGCAGAACACTAGCCTTGGGAGACCCAAGTAACACTGAAGCAATTAAGGACTGAATATTCAGTATATCCGGCTGTCCAGTCTTGGCCCTGGCAAACCCGGCATGCCCCCCTTTCCCTCCAAAATATTTCATTTCCTCAACGCTCCGTTTGATGAGCTCGATGAGTAGTAGTATAAGCGGGGTTGAAGCCTAAGCGGGGTTGAAGCCTAAGCGGGGTTGAATAGTTTTCCATTATTGACATGAGAATGTGACGCGGAGCTAGATTAGCAACAACTGAGCAATTCAAAATGTGTCGGAGGATATTATTTTAATCCTTGCATTTGTCTTCCCTGCCAAAACGCACCCCGAGCTGGGTTAATATATTATGCGGTAGCATTTCTCTCATTTCTCCGATGATAGCCCAGAATTAAAGGGAATTGAGATAGAATATGTTGTAATGTATGTGTGTAATGAGCGATTCCTCGCCAGCGTGAGTGAACTGCGGGTATTATTCAGAACCGGAAATTTGATCTCTTAATTTAATTTTTCATTTTTCACTCCTCACTTACAAAATATATAAAGAAACAATGTTATTTTCAACACATACATACATATAAAAATCTCTTTATATTACAACTTCTCTATACATTCGGATTTGTATCCCCTGTAACGGCATACAACGGTTAATAAGTATAACAGAAATAAGAATCACTAAATAATCTCAATACAATCGTTGCTTACACACAAAAAATTAAAGGTTACATTAAATATAGGCTGTATATGTGTACATACATAATTAAAAATTGAATTTAGAATAATTTTGGTTTGAAAATCCTTGGATAATTCACAGACAGATAAGACTTATTTCTTGACTAGACAATGCTCTCCTTGTGACGTCTCACATATTGTTCGCTTTGCGACTTATTTAAAGGTTCTAATTGGCGTCGATCACTGCCGCCACCGATGTAGGCGTTTTGGCCACCACCGACACTGCTAAAGCCTCTACCTGCTTGAGGCGAAGACTGTGACTTCTGCACAGTTTCGTGAACACACTCATTGGCCAGCTGTGGCACAGCTATAACGTCGGCCATTAGAGTCTGCCGACATAGCGCGGAGAGTGCCTTATTACTTTTCACTGCTGAGTCTGGTTCTGTTTTGGGTGCGTCTTTGCCTTTTTTACTACCCTTACCACGTCGAAATTTCGAGGCGAGTGTTGCGAAACCCAGTTTACTGGATATTTTGCCGGAACGGCTGACTGAACGTGGCAGTGAGTCGTAAACACTGCTGTCCAGATCGGTGCCGGTGTCCGAGTGTGTAGGAGTTTCAGTGTACGAGCCGCCGGTAATTGTGCCAACACTGAAACTTTTTGGCAAATCGCTTTGCTCACCCGTCAACGAGTTGATACTGTAATCGCTACGCCGATATTGCTCCCAGGTTTCATTGCGTACAATGTCATCGCGACGCTTAACTTCCATTTGTGATTGAGCAAGCGCACCATTGCCTTGAAGGAATTCCTCTTTGGCCCTTTGTATGCGTAAAGCTCGTTCCGAGAGTGGTGTGCGTGGTGCTTCTTGAGTCGGCGCATGCAGTGGTGTTGTGGGCTCCGAGTTGTATGGCACTGGAAAATCGAAATGTAGTGGCGGCATACTGGTAGGTGTGAGAGATTTCCGTTCGAGTTTGCGCGCAATACGTGGTATTGTGTTGTCGATGCGGTCGGGTGTGAAGCGGGCTTGCGGTGAAGATGGATCACCGATGGAGGCACCCGAATGTGTTTTCGCAATTTTAGTCTCAATTTTCTTTATAGTCGCACTTTGTGATTTCGAAAAGGGTATGTGATGATTTGACCGTTCGGTGTTCTTCCTAAAGCGGTGCTCCTTGCGCACATCCGTGGAACTACTGCCTGGAAGATGCATTGCAATCATATTAATTTTAGCCGGACTAGCCGATTCACGCATTAGACTGTTGCAGCTTTTGTTAATAACACGAAAACTATCGGAGGCAAGCGGCGGACGCACTTCCTTAGCCAGCTTTTTAGCTGGTGTTGCTAATTTCTCAGCACTTTGACACTTGCGCTCATCCTCATATTCGTATTCGGGAGCACGCATATCACTCTGACTCAATGACTTGCAAGTTGAATTGGAACGTTTTGGTGTCAGACTACCCACTTCTGTTGTTGTGTCGGAGTCAACCGTTTCTGCTGCCTTCAACGTCGTTGGCTCAGTCTCGGATAGTGAGGCATCGGTGACTGCTCCGTCCTCTTCAGTTGGTGTCTGCACGAGCTCTCGCTCAATAACAGTTATACCACCGATAGCACTCGGTTCCGCGACTGCGGTGAATAATTTCCGCTTAGTTTTTACAAACACATTTTCATTTTGATTAAAATTTAAATTTTCATTTACATCAACATTATCATCGAACGGTGGCCGTCTCTGCACGACTGTGGCGGTCGCTAAAAGACATTTTTCGCTACCACCTTTCGGTCGGTAATTGTTGGTATCGGAAGAGCAGCGTTCCATACCAACCACATTCTCACACTGTTCAATCGGATGACCTGGCTTAACTTTCAGCACATAGACGATATCTTCCCCCGCTGTTTCTTCCACTCGACGATAGTCGTCATCGAATGAACGCTGTTTGAGACGAAAGTTCTTGCGCTTAATACGTCGGGGTGTCTCTAGCACGCTGTGTGTGTCGGCATCACTGCTATCGCTCTCGGTTTTACTGTTCTGCCGTGAACCAGTTTTGCGTAGCCGTAGTTTCTTCTTAACCATCGCGCTGTTAGCACCATTACTATTTGGGTACTGCGTGCGTTGTGATACTTTTGTGGTCTCAGCCTCTTCGTCGTTTTCAGCATGTGATGCACTCCATTCATCCGTTGCCTCGAGGGTAGTTGATATGTGATCTTTGGAGTCATCTGGAGCAACGTTTTGAACGTCAACTGAGGTGATACTTATGTCCGGCACGATATCGCGTGGATATGGAGTTGAGCTGCCGTCTAAAAGAGAGCGAGAGAGAGGGAGATCGCAACTGAAACTCTTCGTCTTTAATTCTTTTATTCTTACGTATACTTCTTCGAAGTAAAAACAGGGATTCCTTCAAGCCTTTCAACTCTTCATTGTATTCGTAGCAACGTTCTTCTATCGTCTCCTGACAACAGGCCTCATCGAGTGGACATTTTTCACACTAAAAGAGAGTAAGAAATTAATTGAAGTTACATCTTTTTATTTCCTGCCTTGCTTCCTTTTTTAAGATCAAGACGCGGTGGAAAGACAAATAGTAGATTCCTTCCTCATCTCTACAAAAGCTAAGGGTTGAGAGGAACTTGCTTTTTCTAACTTACCAGATCGCCAATTCTACTCAACTCGCTTTGTACATCCGATATGGCATTCAGAACGCTTGGTTTCATCAGATTATCCGAGTAGTAAGGATAAATGTTCCGAATATACGTGAGCATCGCCTCACATTGGCGCAGCTCGACATTTTCACACAATTCTGTAGAGGAACGTTTCAGATTTGCAAAGGTCTCTTCTGTACGTTGTAGCACGGACAGGAGAGGAGCCAAGTTGGTGTATGACTCGAAACTCTGCACTCGTCGCGTATTACTGAAATCCAGGAAATACATGAATGCAATATGATATTTTGAACTAACGGTAAATCTTCTACTACCAATAATCACTGCAAGCGCCTTCCTCATATTTATAAATCGGTGTTTGTTGTTCAATTAGTGTGTGTGCGGTTACCAACGGAGATGCGGTCTCTTCAATATGATCCTCCACCTCCACCATCACCGCTTCAGGTTCCTCAAATTTCTTGTACTCGTGCTCATCAAGCACATCAGAGCTGCCGTGATTATCGATCTCCTTTAAATCGTTCACATCATTCAGCGATAAGCTGGAAGCCTGTTGCGAGATGGCCGGCAGCGTGGCATTATTCTGTGCAATGCTATCCAAAGAGAATGAGCGTCCAAGTGTCAGAGAATTGTCTCCTGTTGTGAGGGAAGAAGTGAAGTTAATACGTACACGACTCTCACTCTGAGCTCATCATACTCACTTGTATTGCTTTCCTTTGTGATGCGATCCACGACAATTGGCCGGTAGCCGGGATGCAGCAAAGCAAATGTTGACGATTCTGGTCCAATGCCTCGTGCCTTCTCCCATTCATAGAGTTTCCGTGTGAATTTGCGAGAGATGCCTTCGAATTTCATGACGCCCTCCGAGGTCTTCACTTCGATCTTCTTGGCGGGATGATCGGTGACGATCGCTTTGAGTTTGGCCAATCTGTGTTTTGGGCGAGGTTAACAAGAGGTGTAGAAAGAGACACAGGTAGATAAAAGGAGAGAAAGAGAGAGAGAGAGAGAAAGAGAGGGAGGGAGAGAGAGAGAGAGAAAGAGAGGGAGGGAGAGAGAGAAAGAGAGAGAGAGGGAGGGAGAGAGAGAAAAAAAAGATTAAACTTTAAATAATACGTGGTCCATCCTCAATTACTTTTCTAGTTTATCCTTATCATGCGGTTTGCTCTCAGCACTTTTCTTAATGCTATCCGTGAGTTTGTTAGAGCGTTTTATGGAATCCTGTGCGCTTGGAATATTCCCTGTGGCGCCACCAACACCACCACTTTGTTTCAATTTATTCCATTGTTCTACAGAGATGTGATGAAATTAACTTGAGCTTTTTCAAATGTAGATCTCAGTAACTCACCCAACTTTCTTTGGAACTCTTCCGGTAGGTCCTTTTGATCCGGCAATGGCATTAAGCCCTGACCCTCCAACTTCAATTGTCCTGTTTTCCAAAGATTCCAGTCGATTTTTGGTTTTGAATCACCAAGTCCCTCTCGTACTGGTGAAGTGGGCGAGATTTGTGTGGGATGTGCGCCACTAACGGAGATCTGTTTCTTCACACGCCATTTACGTAGTTTCTTCTTAAAATCAGGTGTGAGATTTTCCTCTAGAAGTTTTGCTGAAATTTTGTTGTTAAAGACCGGGTGTTGGGGGTGTTCATCCGGTTTGGGTGGTGTGATCAAGGCTATTGCTATAATTAAAAAGATAGTTAAAGTAGTATGAAATTCTCACTTAGTACGAGTATAAACAAAATTTAGCTAAGACTACTACAACATCCAAAATTCCTGATTGACTCTCTCGGGATTAGGTTCAAAGCAAGACCAAGGCGAAACTCGACTGCATAACTTGGCACTTCTCTCTGCAACGATTACGGGTATGTTCCCGCGACTCGTATTAGTAAAACTCACCTCTGCACGCATTTGTGTTCGATCTCATTTTGTCCCATTCCCTTCGCTTCGCCTCAAATTCAATATCAAATTTAGCGCGTAACATCTGGTAGCGTTGATTGATTTCATTTTTCTCGTCGAGAAAAGTCTTATGTGGCGACAAATGATTAGGTGTGGTGGGTTCCGAGAAATCGCCACTCGATAGATCTTCGCTCTCTGCCAGAAGAAAGAGGTGATGAGGTAAGTGGTTTGTACAGTTGAGAGCGAAGGTGAAAAATATCTACTCATACCCACCAAATTCACAAAAGAAGTCCGAATGACGCGAAGGACTGCTCGGCACTGATGAATTACCCGGTGAGTTAACTTTCTTCGAACGATTCAGAGATTGCGTGCCATCTTTGGGACTTTTCAGTGAATACGGCGAATAAGAGAAATCCGAATCGGTGAGGTCCTTAAATGTGAGTGAGAGTTTTTTTGGTAAAACAAAATGTTCCGTCCGAAATACAAAAGAGGGTTTACCTGTTTCAAATTGAGATTCAAAGGACTGGGCGGTGGCTTTGTACGACGTTGTGTTGGACCTTTCAAATCGGCAACAACATCCTCTGGCAGTGCCTCAAAGTCGGTATGATTTTTGCTTCTACGCAAAGATTTAATCGATGAGGATTTCTTGGCCATTGAAGTTCTCATATTGCTGTCGCTTTTGGCTGAGCGGCTCAAGGCTTCAACATCATCGGTTTTTGAACGTTCCAATAGACGCGACGAAGGACTTTCATCAATCACGCGACTGTCGCTCTTGGTTGAGTCTCGTCCTAAGAGAGGGTAGAGCATATTACTTACATCAATTATACATACATACGTATGTTTGTATGTATATATTGAAATATTTTTAAATTTAATTTTTGATTTTTGTTGTTTTAAAGGAAGAAAGTAAATAACAAAATTTGACATGAATAATCGATTTAAGTCAATAACAAATATTTATGTACATATATTATATATACATATGTATATATGTATGAGAGTATATTGATAGAAATGGTAAAGAAATTACTCAGCGTGCTGCGACAATTGCTATCAATATCGTCCATTGAACTTGCCGAGCTGATAGTGCCTGGCGTACCAGTTTCACTAAGCAGATGCCCCGATGATGAGCTCAAAATGCTATCAGCCGAACTGCCACCGCCAGGGCCGGGCAACGACGGCACACGCAAATATCTATGAAAAATAAACAAAAGGAAATTTATTTATTTACGTCCAACATAAGTAAATATTCCTTCAATCTTCATTGATGGCTGTATAATCACCTCGCGACCTCATTATTGACAGGCGTCAGTCCCACGCTGGCGGCGGTGTGATCTTTATTTGGCACAACATTGTACACTACAACACTGCTGTTGCCAACACCTTCGGCCAACGCAGGCACGTTAGCGCGCTCCCATTTGAATGCTGCCTTGACCTTCGTCCACTTCGATACTTTCGATTTTCCCTCAGAGTAGGTACTCTGGCGACGCAGCATGTGCGGCAGGGCGCTGGAACTCTTTGAATCACGATCATGTTCGACGCGTACGGCCAGTGTCGCTGCAGAAGTAGATGCGACATCATCAATCATCATCGATTTGCTGCGTTCGCGTTGTCTAGATATGAAAAGAGTGGGGGAAAAATAAAATAAAAAGTCGTCTGCCGCCAACATACAACCAATAGTGAATATTAGAGAGCGGTTTCTCTAAGAGCAGTTGTTCGAAAGTGCTCCTCTCCAACTATCTCCTCTTCTCTCACTTTCTTTCTTTCTCGCTATATCTCTTTCACTAAATCTCTCTCGCTCTCCCTTGCTCAAGCGTGCTCAACGCCGCTCACTTAACTTCCAACAGGTGTTTTTGCTGCACTTTTTTCTACTTACTGTTTGAGAGCGCCTCGTTTAATCGACGAGGGATTACTGCCGCCGCCCCCGAATGCCGAAAAGCTGCCGAAACTTAAGGATGTAGGTGCTGGTGTTGTGGGCACGGGTGTTGTTGCCGACTCGCCCAGCATCGATTCGATGAGCGCGATCGATTCCTCTAAATCCGCCTCGGTATCTGAGTATTGCTCTTGCTCGTAATCTTGTTGTGGCTGTTGTTGGTGGTGTTGCTGCTGCTGTTGGTGTTGTTGGCGCTTACTACGCACCTCTTTGGCATTTTGTATCTACTCACGTAAGTAGATGTTTAGATATGTGCGGCGGAAAAATCATAAAAAAATTGTGATGTGAGAAAATGAAAAGAAGAAAAGTGGGGAAAGTAAAAAGTGCGGGTGTGTGTGCGTTAGTTTTCTATTTATTGATATGCTTTATTTTGTGTGTTTATTTGTTTCAATTTGTTGACGGGCTTTACATAAACACATACATCTTTTTACAATTTTTCAAAACAAATTTTTAATATTTTTTTTCAAAATTTTAACATCACATTTTGTATTTTTTTTCAAAAACTTTTCTAAAACTTGATTGATATTCTATAATTTATGTCTTATTTGTGTCTTGTTGCGTTCTCCACTTATTCTTATTTAAATATGTTAATATTTTTCCCAAATGTCTTTTTCAAAAGTTGAAATTTTCTTATGAATCTTTTGTATTTACAGTTAATTTTTTCGAAACGAAATGAATTTCCAATGTTTTATCAAATACCATATTTGTGTATTTATTTGATTTTTCCTAATTCTAATTTTGTATTTTGAAATATTTTTATACTAGTTTAAATTTTTTAATAATTTCTTATATTTCTTTTGACTTTTAGCAGTGATTTGCCTTTGTTATTTATTTATTTTTATTTTTTCCCAAAATTTTTTCTTTAACACTTGCACTCACCTTTTCATTGAGCAGATTCGCATAGTTCAGGCACTCGCGCTGCCGTCGCCACTTCGCTGACTCGTCGATGTACTTATCCCAGATAGCGTAGAGACGCGATAGCTGCTCCACGGAGCCGTGTGCCGCCAGCAACGCCGACAAGCTGCTGCCCAAACGGCTCTGCAGCGGCTCCATGAATTGCGTGCACTCCTGGCGGACATGCTGACAGTAGGCGCAGCGCGTCTGCTCCCCATCGTGACGTTCGTGCTGCATTTGTTGCTGCTGCTGCTGTTGTTGTTGTTGCGGGTGTTGCGGGTGTTGTTGTTGTTGTTGCGGGTGCTGTGATGATTGTGTTTGCTGTTGCTGCTGTTTATTCGCCGCCTCATGCGCTGCGCTACAATCGTTCGCTATAATTTTGTAAAGTGTTTTATAAAATTCCTCTTTGCTTTCGACATAATTGAAGAGCGTATGGTAGCCAGGTGGCAGGCCTTCTTTTTTCGTTTTGCTTGGAAATTGAAAAATATTATCGCTCTGACGCGGATCGGGTGGTGGTGATGGCAACGTTTCGTACACATATTGGCCGGAGGTGCGGCGCGACGAGGACTTTGATGAATTTGTGGTTTGTTGTTGTTGTTGTTGTGTTTGTGATGCGCTATGCGTGCTGGAGGGTGTAAGCGGCATGGAGCGCGCAGATAATGGACGCTCGGGTAATTTTTCCATTATTTGCAATATTTATTCATGCGTATTGTATATTATTTATGTACGTATGTATGTCTGTACACTGTAATTACATAAATGCAGGTGGTGATAGTTGAATTATAAATTCAAATGAAAAACAAAAAAAAGTTGAATTACAGTAAATTACAAACATTTTTATATAATATTGGCCCATTATTTTCGCAATAGATGGTTTTAGTGATCCGTATATCGCGGTCTTGAACGCAAGATGTCGTTAGAAGGATGATATTTTTTACTAAAAGGATGTGGGGAGAAGCGTTCAGACAGCTGAAAATGTGAACAGTGTTCATGATCCTGATAAAGCAACAGTCAAAAATGCACAATTTTCGTTTCATCGATTTGGTTGTATGAGGTGCCCCACGGTGTGGAAGGTCAATTGTCGAAATTGCGCGATAGAAGAATGAAAATAATCGAGTTTGACCGTAGTTTGAACACTGTTTCGATTGTCCGAAGGTTGAACATTGCAAAAGAGCAGTTTGGAATCCTTTGAAAAAGGCTGGATACACAAAGAAGCTCGATGTATGTCACAAAGAGAGACAAAGGTTTCTATGAGTAAGGAATAATGGCATTACCTTCAAAATGGCAAAAATTTATTGAGCGAAACATTCGCAACAACAAACGAAATCGGATAATTTTAACTATTGGTAGAGAAAGACCAAAAGAATCCAATCTAACTGATTATTTTTTGCTATATATTAGGTCAAGTAAAAGGTTCGTTCGGTTTGTTCATAAACTTGTTTCCAACGAGATGCCAACTTTATTAAACCCCTTTCGTAGAAGGCTGCGTTCCTATTGGTAAAAAATTCGGAGAGCCAATTTTCACAGGCCGCTCTTGAGGCCAACTTCTCACCATTAAGCGCATTCGCCATGGACAGGAAAAGATTGTAATCACTTGGTGCCAGGTCCGGACTATAAGAAGGATGCATTAGGACCTCCCATCCGAGCTCCTGGAGCTTCTGGCTCGTCACCAAAGACGTGAGTTGCCTGGCGTTGTCCTGATGGAACATAATTTAGCCCATTTGTTGGCTTTAGAGGGCCGAATTGAGCGTTTGGTCAGAGGGGAGCAGCTCATAGTAGATGATTTCTTATCAATCCCACCGAACACACAGCAAAATCTTCCTGGGCGATTCAGTAGCGATTCGCAGATGGAAATTCGGTTCTTCATTTTTTTTTTGCGTTAGTTCGTGTGGCACCCAAACATCGAGCTTCTTTTTGAATCCAAGGCTATGCAAATGGTTCCAAGCGGTTTTCTGGCTTGTCTTTAGTTCCCCTGTTTCCACTATTTCCATGATTTTATCACATTCGACGATAGGCCTCCCGACGCGTGGAGCATCTTTGACATCGAAATTACCGGAACGGAACCTAGCAGACCACTTTTGTGCTACACGTTCTGCTAGCGTCCTTTTTTGGCGAGCGCTCACAACGTACTGAGTCAATTAATCGAAAAACTGTCAAAGACAAACTTTTAGCGCGAATAAGCACGTTTTCAGCACCGTATAATATGATATGATGCGACACATAACACTAGTACTATGGACAATAATGCCATCTCTTAGATAAAAACCGAACGAACTTTTTACTTGACCTAATATATATGCACATATAATAGGCGCTCTGTAACCAGTGAAGCGATTTTCGGCGTTTTTCCTCTAATTTGTAGTGACCGTCTACGGTTTCTACTGAGCTTCCTCCGAACTGCTGAGGGTTTTTTATGGGAAGATTTGATTTTGTTGTTGGAAATACCCACAGAGGAGCTGACATTCCCTACAAAAGTGCGACCGTAATTAGAAAAATTCCTTTAATTTTTTATTTAAATTATATATATATGATGTTTGGATATTGATCGGACCAGGACTCAAACACTGTCCTTCCGAACGACACTACACTTTTGATTGGGTGAACTACAATAAGTCAATGTCACGGTATATATTGTACAGATCATGTTACTTCGGCTGCGGTACTCGCTAACTATACTAACTCTCAGAGGACTATCCATTTTTCTCAAAACTATTGTCACGACAACTCCTAACGTCAACTCATCAGATGTTGTCATTGTGCATGCCTCCGCACCATATAGGAGGACGGAAATGCTGAGCGACTTGTAGAGTTTGGTTTCTTTCGTCGAGAGAGTACTTTACTTTTCAAATGCCAGTATCAACAGCCACAGCAAAAATGTAAGTCTTGAATTCCGCGGAATAATTCTTGCCAAAATGTGCTACTTTGGACTGAGTAATCTAATGAGAGGTGCCCAGAGTCTAACTCGCCGCCGTAAAAATGATATTTAGTCCAATAAACGCCAACAAAACGTGTTCATAAAAAATTATAAATATAAATGTGTGTGTACGCATAGTAAAGATAAAAAAAAAATATTCTTAAAATATTCTTTTCTCCACTTAAAAGCGCCATTTAGTGTTTCATAATTTCCACATTTATGTGTATGTAAGCATCTGCACAGGTACTTGAATTCGGCAGCCTTCAATTGCGTTCGCACCAAATTATGCCGAGTAAATTTTTCGCAATTTCACTAATATTCATTCTACTAAGTGTAAACAGTGTTGCGCCAAAATCAGCACATACATATATAAAAATTAGCGTACATATGTTTATATAAATAAATTTATGTGCATATGTGCGTTGAAGCGTATTTGAAAATTTGCGTTTTGTTTACTTTAGAAATTTGGCTTACGTTGCCCTGACTGTATTGTAACAAATGCTTTCTTCTGGCGGCCGAATTGATCCGTTTTATGCTCAATATCATTGAACAATAAATGTAAATTTCAACACTCTCATAACTAAACTGATTCGCTCGTCTTTAATATCTTTTATTGTGTGGAAATGGGGGGAAATTCAAATTCGCAATAAAAGTCACTCATACGCCCCGACGCACACACACAGAAGTTTTCTCAAGCAATTTTGTTGTTGTTGAATTTGCTGCATTCAGAACTCAGTTAAATCGACTCAAGCAACGGTGGTGAAGGTGTGTATTCAAAAAAACTAAATTAATAAAAGAAAAGAGTGGAAGGATCTTGCCACGGGACTTGGTTGTATATCAGTCGGCAGCAATAACCGCAGTTCGCTTAAGAAACCAAGCTATACAGATTGCTGCGATTCAATTAAATTCATTGAAAATTACTTCAAAACACGAACTCCTAGCAGCGATGAATTGAAGGATAATCATCATACTTCTGTCGGCAGCCTCGAAATATATACGGATATATCAAGGCTTGAGTTGCGTTCTGGCGGGAGTGTTTTTTCAATGAACCCTCCTCTGGAGCTCTATTTCAGTCTGCCTGACGATTGCAGTGTCCCTAAGGCGGAGATATCTGCTATTATGGAGGCAGCAAAGCAAATCGAGGCCAACTTTAAGGCAACAATAAGAGCTCTGGGCTGGAAATTACCACATGACGCAAATTTCATAGTTGGCATTGAGAAGATAGACGAAGTTATTTACGCCTTCGCTCTCTTCAGTTCTCTTATAGAAGATCATAACTTCTTTATTTAGCTCTACAGCTCGTGTGTTTTTGTACAGCAAACAATTGGAGGAGTCACTCGGTACGAAGTCACCTTTTCGGAAACCTCGTTTGGTATCGAACGGTTTCTAGATGTCTTCCCGGCTCATATTACACAGCTGTATAAGCATTGCAGGTATAGTCAATTTAGATATAAGGACGTAAAGGAAATTCCTTTTCGTGGTGTTGAAGGATGCATTAAAATTAAGAAGAGGTGATGTGTGTCGATCCTCTTCTCACGTATCCTGCTATTCGAGCTTCTTCATAGTGAGACAGAGCATCAGTAACTAGATCGAGCCTTGGGCTCTTCTTAATTTCCATAATTTATTGTCTTAAATTCTGCTATGGCGTTAATGCTTCACATAATTTATCATATTAATGATATTTTCAAGAGTTAAACTTTTCAATATTCGCCCAGAATATAAAATTTTTATAACACAATTAAGTAGAGCATAAGGCAAATGATAATAAATTTCACCTTTTACATTGTGTTCACACATTATAAAGTGGAACAACGACGGCTGCAAACGTCACAACGACCGAATATCAGCGGTACTAAAATAAGACTCTTACTCATACATAGATTCACATACGAGGTGCGTTCACAAGATACCTATAATTTTCAAAATTCGTGAGCCCTGTACGCCACAGAATAAAGTTGACCAAAGATTTCGAGACACGGTCTATGGACTAGGAGATTTAAACATTAAATGCACACGACCACCGATATAGCTATGGTCCAATTAGAGGTATTTCTAGTTTGAGAGGCGACAAAGAGTAGCTGTGGCATTGCCAATTGAAATGTATTATATTTAAAACGTAAATAGATTTATCTTCGACTGAACGAATTTATGATCAAAAACACAACAACTTTTATAATTGAAAACCGAAATCTATCAACTAGACCCCAAGATTTTGCTCGGACGTTTTTGAAAAGCTTGAGCACACTCATTTATTACTCATTGCCCGAAATTTGCATGTTGCTGTTGTAGTTGTCAGTCTGTTTTAAGCTGGAGTGAACGAAAAAATTAGAGTAGAGAGGTGGAGGTGGTGTCTTTCCGAAGAATTTTGACACCAGAATTGCCCTTCGCTTACACTGTTTTTAAGACTGCAATTAAAGAGAGTCAGCTATTTCTCACAAAGCGAGTTTTTACTACAAAAAAATGGTGATGCATACACAGATAGCCAAGTGGCTCTGAAACCACTAAACTACTCATTAATCATCACATCAAAGATAGCGAAAGAGTGTCTTGATCTACTGAAAGGGATTACATCGTACAACACAATAAATCTGCAATGGGTTCCAGTTCACAGGGCTATCCGTGGTAGATGTGAGGCAAATGAACGAACTAGATTAAGTACCACAAAAACATAGGTTAAGAGGCAATATCTCTCCTGCTCGCTCACCTTTGTATATATATAACAGATAAACTTATCAAGAAAATAGCGGGAAGCAACTCTTGACTTGCTGCTTAACCAAGCAAACGTGGCCAGAATTGTAATTTAATAAAATTACGTAAGCAATTTATGTGAG